GGTGGGGTGGGGCGGGCGGGCGGGGTGAGCCCCTCCTAACCTGGTCCCAGCTCCACCACCGTGCACGGTGTGACTCTGTCAAGTCGCTCCTCTGAAATGAGAAGGCGCAGCCCCTCGCTGGGTTATGAATTGAGGTGGGATGAACATGCTTTACCTTTGAGTCTTGTGTGAAAGATAAAGAACAGAAGTGCAAAGTAGCGACGGCAGGGACTCTCTAGGTAAAACAAAGCGGTGACGTTGACCAGGGAGGAGGGTTGGCATCCAGAGCTTTCCTGGTGAGAAGCCGTGGGGAAAGGGTTCAGGACTGGGAAGCAAGGCACCAGGTTCAAATCATGTACCTGCCGTTAATTTCTTGTGTGACCTTGAATGAGGTGTTTCACTTTTACCTGTTACCGTCTTTACAGGTGGTCTGTTTAGCTCTTCAAATTCCAACACTGTGGCGTTCCAAGATATTCATGCTCAAGGTTTTCTGTCTTCCTTTCCCCATCCCCAGGTGCTAGTATATGAGTTATTGCTGGGAAGAGGCTTTAAAGGGCGCGGGGGCCGATGGAAGCCTCTGCTGGACCGGCACCAGGCAAGGCTGAAGGCCGAGTTGGCCCGGCTCAAGGTTCGCCGAGGTGTGAGCCAGAACGAGGACCTGTTGGAAGGGGGATCCAAACCTGGCCCAGGTGAGCTGGAAGGAGTTGTGTAGGTGGAGGTAGCCATCGGGCCCTCAGGAGAGGGCCATCCATGTTCCTGCCCACTCACTGCTGATGGTTTCCTAGCCTCCCAGGTGCCTCGATTTGTGCGAGTGAACACTCTGAAGACCTGCTCTGAGGATGCAGTTGATTATTTTAAGAGACAAGGATTCTCCTACCAGGGTCAGGCTTCCAGGTGAGCTTAGAACCGTGAATGGCTGCCCTCATCTAGGAAGGAGCCTGGGGAAAGGGATCAGTGGGGAGAGAGTCAGCGTGGTTGTGACTGCGCTCAGGTTTTCTTCCTACTTTTCCAGCAGTTTCTCCATTTCCTTTCAAGGCCTGTCTTCCTTCATCCTTTAAACAGTGGTTCTCTTGGGAGCCCTGTTTTACTGATACATTTGTCTAAATGTATCCCTCAATTTCTTCTCTGGCTCTGACTCCTACTTCTCGCCTAAATCATTCAGTCTCCCAGTCTAGGCTTCTCTCCTGTTGTCCTACTCTCAGGTTCACGTTACTGCTTCACAGACACCACAGTCGCAGCACTTGTTAAACCAAATTCATCTTTCTTTTGAACTCTGCACTGTCTTCTTTTTAACGTTAAATTATTCATTCAAAATTTAAGGTTTAAGAGAAATGCTGCCAAAACAGTGTGCTTAAATGCATTATTGGATTATTTTGCAGCATCCTTTTTTAAAATTGACATATAACACATTATTAGTTTCAGGTGTACAATGTGATGATTTGATATTTGCACATATTGCAAAATGGTCACTAGAATAAGCCTAGTTAGCATCCCGCGCCATACATAGTTGTAAATTTTTTTCCTTAGGATGAGCACTTTTAACATTTATTCTCTTAGCAGCTTTTAAATATGCAAAGTGATATTATTAACTGTGGTCACCATGCTGTACATTACATTCCCAGGACTTCTTTTATAACTGGAAATTTGTACCCTGTGACAACCTTCACCCATTTCGCTCACCTGTACCCCACCCCCTGTCTCTCGTGACCACAAGTCTGTTCTCTGTATTTATGAGCTTGGGTTTTTGTTTTTGTTTTAGATTCCACATCAAAGTGAGATCATACAATGTATGTCTCTCTCTGTGTGACTTATTTCATTTAGCATAATGCCATCAGGGTCCATCCATGTTGTCGCAAAGGGCAAGATTTTATTCTTTTTTTTTTTTTTTTTTTTTTTTTTTTTTTGTTTTTTTTGGTCCTCT